TCTATTAACTTCAGCTAACTTTTAATCTAGCCCAACTAACTCAGACAGCAAGATTTAAAGACAGCTGAGGAAGTTCACAAGACAGTAACTTAGACTGCACAAGGATCTGGAAAAAAACCCAAGTGTCAGTGAAGGGTCTGATTAGAGGACATGAAAAGCTCATTCCCAAATGTCCTTTTGTCAGTCTCAGCAATTTCATTATCTTCTGTGATAACAGGATTCAGAAATTGCAAGCAGTGATCTGAATCAGTTTCTAACTCAAGTATAAATTTTCTATGAGCTTTTTTAAGTGCTTGGGTTTTTGCTCAGCAATACCACAAGGCCTCTAAGTAGTTTTTTCTTTTCTTTTATAATTTTTTTTTTTTTGGTTGGGTCTCTTGGGTTTCTAGCTGGTCTAGGATTGCTAGCATCAGGATTTCTGCCATCCAAGCTCAAACAAATTTCCAAGCATTAATTTCAACATCAACTAAGGCATGACCCCTGCAGATACACCTCTTGATCTCCAAATTTTTGTTCTTTAAAGCATAAACCAAAACAAACAAAACTGTTTTCTTATTTGTGTGCTATGCAAACCATCCTGCTCATAAGCTTGCAAAATTCTCTGTACAAAATATATCCTTCTTCAGATAAGCTTAAGTCTAACAAAAAATAAAAATCCAATATTTGTAAGTTAACATTTGCCTTCAATTAATTTTACTTGCTCAGTATTTCTAGAAAACAAGACCAGCAAAGCATATTCTGACAGGAATACAGTATACCACCAAAATCAAAGTTAAGATCCAGACACAGAGTGGTTTGAACTTCATTGCTCTTATAAAACAAAAAAAGCAAACTTATGCACCAAAATATAAAAAGGTTTCAGACCCTATCTCAGTATGCCTAAGTCTACTTAGTTGTGTAAGAATGAAGAAAAACATTAATAATTATATGAATAATACATTACAGATAAGAATTTTTCTTCAATAAAGAATAAAAATATTTGGATCTTTTGTCCAAGTGAGAGCAATGAATATTGGGCCTGCCTAGAGAGGATATGTTTTTAAATGAATGAGACACACTGGAAGTGAGGATTTAGCAGAATGAATCTTAAATTACCAAGCACAGCAGAAAATACTATTCTTAAAAGTGAAATAATATTAACCACAAATGTAACTGCAAATGGAGCAGCATAACAATTATCAGTAGCAATAAGGTGAATGACAGATTTTTGCTGCAGAAGGTACAGATGTTTGTTTTGTTGTCAGGAAGGAACATACACAGGCATTGCAAGCAGCTAGATCACTAAATTAAGGTGATAAACTTAAGGTGATAAACACTGAGTCTGTTTATCTGAAGAAAGAGAAGAGCAACAGGACACAATAATGTGGTGTTTTCACTGTACTTACTTCCCTGATTCTTCATGGAAGGAGATGCTTTTGAAAAGGGAAAGATGTAGAAAAAATATATTAAAAATACCTGATTTGATGATTCAAGACCCCTGTATTTCATAGAAGCAATTCATGCTAAACCTTCCTTAGAAAGAAGTGTGTCATCCAAGAGCGGTCATAGTACTATAAGCCACTGCAGACTTGACTCAGTTGCCAAAATTGCACATGATACCTTGAGCTATTTAGTATGTCCTACAACACCCTAACCTTTACCTATCTGTTAACAGCTATTGCTCTTCTACCCTTTCACCTATTGGCCAAACCCTGCAAAACATCTTGGATTCTTGCCACAAGGCATGTGGCTTAAAATTCTTGATGTGCTTTCAGTGCCACATGCAAATTTGATACACTAGGATGGCCTTATTGGGAAAAAAATAAATTAAAATTGCTATGGAAGTTACATAAAGCAAAATGAATAAAGTTTCCTTAGTAAATTAGAGACTTATGCATGAATTTTACATCCCTCCATAGATGCAGGAGAGGTTCTGTTGGATGTTGACAGTATTAGGAGGTATATTTCACTGAAGAGTTGGAAAAATTATGAAAATATTCAGAGGAATATGTTCATGTTGTACAAATGCTAGTAATTTAAAAGTACAGAATTAAGTAGGAACTTATAATAAAGTAAAACTGATAATAAAGAAAACACAATCAATTAGGAAAAGAGATAGCTTGACATGCTAATATAGTAAAAAATTTCTGGTGTGTTCTACACACTATATACTATACAGTGTATACCCATCATTTGCAGCATATGATAGAGATTCATATCTATTAAGAAAGCAGCATTTCCTCTCACAAGGTAAATACTGGAAATAGTATATTTTATGAGCATTGCTTCATAAGTACTTACAGAAAAGTAAAGGGGAGAAAAGGTACCTCTGAATACATACCAGATAATATCTGCAGTAGATGGAAATTCATTAAACATTATCACGTATAATAAGTCACAAAATAGAGACGTTACCAATAATATGTAACCCAATTTGCTTAAGCCTTGATTTTGGACGCTGACAAATTTGAATTTGTAGGTTATCAGGTAACACAAAAAAGTTGTTTCCAGAATACAGAGAGTGTTGTTGGTATATTGGTAGGAGCAGAAAGAAATTTGAGGGGAAGGGGTAAAAGACTGACACATGAAATAAATGCCATTTCCTTACAACAAATCTTTGTTTGACCTTCCAAAAACTCAGTTCAGCAAAATCATATATAAAGTCATATTTGAAGTCTCAGCAACTCCCTGGGCTGAGGTCTTCAGCTGAGGGTAGAAGCTGTACTACCTCCCACAGCCCCAGAATGCCACTGCCATTGGTCAGGGACTAATAGCACTGGCTCTGCATTCTGAGTAACTCCATCCCATTTGAGACAGAGGAAGCCAAAGGTAAGTTTTGGCACTTCTTTCTTAGCTGAATTTTTATCGCTGGAAACACTATTATTTGTTTTATTTTATCATGCTTAATACAGATTCAGAGCTTGCAGATAGTGGAGACTATTTATTTTTCCCTGGATATGTCTTAGTTCCTTCCTGTGAGAGGTGTACATAATCTTCATCAAAATATTTGATCTTACAGCTACTGCAGATGCCAATGTTTCTACAGAGCATTCCAATATATTACATGAAAGGGAAACAAACCCTGCAAATTAGTGCAGATACTATAGCCATAGGTAAATTTTTTATTTGCAGATATTTGCTGATTTTGTCTCTATATATGCAAACATTAATACTTACCAAGCCTTATACCTTTTAAAAATATTTCATTTTTAGGAGTTGTGACATGAAAACAATATTGCGTAGCAAGCATTTTTTTATTTAAGAATTGTTTATTCAGAGGAAAAATTACACCACATATGTAAGTACTACATTTTGGGTTGATAGATAACACCCTTTATAGCTGAATCGTCTGGGATAAATGACATGGAAAGGAAAAGCAAGACCAAAACAAATTCTGTCAAAAATAGGCAGCAGAAAACATAAATACAGACAAAAACCTGCTATTTCTAGCATACTTGCTTATTTCAGAGATTGATTGCATTTTTATTTTATTTAATTTTTTTAATAAAGCAGAATATTTTTAGCAATATTGGAAGCTAATACTGAAAACTGAAATTTATCTAAGCTTTCTCAAAGAGAAGACCCAGTAACTCTAGCTTCTTCCAGCAGCAGCTGAAGTCTTTCTGAATAAAGAAAATGAGAGAAAAATGACCGCCTTGTGTTACTGGCCATCCCCAGAGGAATTTTATATCCTCATGCCTAAACCAGCTTTATAAAGACCTCTTTTCATGGAGCCAAAATTCAACTTGTTGCTCAGTACATACATTAAAAAAAAAAAAAACCTCATGTATTTCTTATTATACTTATAAGTAGTTACAATTTTGAAATTGAATATTTAAGAGTGTGTATCATGGCATCACATAAGAAGTAAAGTTTATTAGACTTACACATTGCTCATTATCACTGTGCTTTTGCTGAAATTAATGTGAGCTATAGATAAATAAATGTGTAAGTAAAAAGTTCTGAATAGACCCCTTTGTCAGGCATCTTATATGATAATAGTGAATGCATCACTTACAAGGAAAAGGGAATACATAAACACTAGTGTTCAAGCCTAGCATGGATTTTCTACCATTTTACAAAATTCTGGGACTTTAAATAGGTGATAATTCAATTTTATACAACTTTAAGTGGGTGATAATTCAATTTTGCAATTCTATTTTCCAAGGATAACAGGTGAGTACACTACACCACAATTTCTCACTACATTACACCACAATTACTCACTGCTTTAAAAATGATGTTGATTGAATAACGAAGGAATTCAGAGTACTGGCACTACTGTCCGCGAAGCTATGGAGGACACATTCTTTATTTTGCTCCCAAGACCTTTGAAAAGTATGTTCCAAATGTACCACATCAATTAAAATCAATATCTGACAAAAAACTAATGAGTGAAAAGTGATTTGATTATACTTATTAAGAGATAAGAGTTTCTAATGTTTTTTAATAGAATGGTGGAGTGGTTTTTTGCTTGTTGTTTATTTGTTAGGTTTTTTTGTTTTTTGTTTGGGTTTCTAAAATTTTTTGTTGTTGTTTGTTTGGTTCTGTTTAGGGTTTTTATAATGGAGGTGAGATATTATATTGTTATACATTTCAAATGATTATTTATTTTGATAAAGACAAGTAATGTAATAATCTACCTTTTCTCTAGTTTCTCAAAAGTTTGTATCTAAGTGCAAGGAAAATAGGTGAAGTTAGATGAAAGGGGGAAAATACCATTCAGACTCTTTCTCACTGAAATCAGTTTATTTTTACACCAATAAAATTCAATAGAGCTTTTCTAAATTATGTGACTATGAGTATTGTCAAAGCAGTCTGCAAAATTCTCAGATCCAGGGACTCTTCATGAAGAAAACCAGATTATACCACTGAGTCACAATAAATAAATATGAATTATTCACCAAAAATTTTGTGGGGTTTATATATAGGTACTGTATTTATGACATTAAATTGTCATAGATTCCTTGTCAATACCAGAGGACCTAAAATCTGTCCATTTTCTTCTCTTTCAGAAAAGAAAACAGAATGCAGACCTTTGTGAATGTTTTTCTGGGTTTTTTTATCTTTGAGTCTGTTGGAGCTGCCCCTATCACTGATACAATAATTTATGATTCTGAGTTCTATGACGTACCACTTGGAGAGCTGCCTCATCCATTTGCCTATGATGAAAACAAGCAGTCTGACCGAGGAGAGGTAATTAGAACTTAATTTATTCTGTCTTAACGAAGTGCATAACTGCAGTAGTTACTGATCAGTTTATCTTTGCCATGAAAATACTTATCAGATAAATCTACTCATGTGGTGCCTTTGCAGTTCATTCACATTTCCCCTAATTTACAAACAAAGCCAAAATATATTCTTATTGTTTGTGGTTTTCTTTTTGGCAATCTTTAAGAGGAGGTGAAAGGTACCATGCTTTCCTCAGGTCTCTGTACAATTCCACAAAGTCTGTTAGAGATCATCGTTGTGATTTATCTATGTAATGCATGGTGGCAGTTGAGACAGGATTTCCAGCATTTCCCATTAAATGGGATTGTAAAATGCAGTTTCCTTAAGTTTATGTTCAGTACACATATTTCAGGCTATAAATGCTAATGTGTTCTATTGCTGTTAGGAAAGTAGCAGAAGGAAGAAAAAAGAAAGGGAAAACATTTTAAACACAGGAAAGCAAGAAAAATTACTGTTGAAATTGATACAGTATGAGCCGGTAAGATATGTCACCTGTAGAAGCAAGAGATTCCACTTGTTGGCTTAAATGCTTCCTTCCTCTTCAACAATCTTTTGTTTCTTTACAATTACTAAAAGGCTACATTAATTTTATTTTCACCCTGTTGATTAGACATCGGCACAAGTTCCCCGAAGGTAATATAAGCACTCTGTGATTCACAATTTTGTATGATAGAAGTAGAGTGAAGAATATAAAATTTAAATAATATGTTATGTTCATTTTTATACATAATATTTTAATACTTTTTCACATAAAAATGCGTAATTCATGAAAATACTATCCTTTGAAAGATTTATGATTACAGCAGAAGGGACAGGAACTCCTCTTTCTTAAATGTGAGATATAAATTGGATAACAGCTTTGAAATCAAAGGACAGAGACAATTTAAGAATAACTATATTCCAAAGCGGGAGAACTGAAGAGATAAAATAGAGTTAGCACTAAGATCAGAATTTTATAATTTGTAGGAAATAAATTTTCAGTCTAAGAGGGAGTGAGAAGAACTTTGCTGAAAGGAACTTACCTTGCCTTTGGCCTGTTTCCCTTGTGCTGCTCTAGCGCTCTACCTGATTCTGCCTGAGCTAGTTTTCCTGATAAAGTTGCTACCAATTTTAGTCACTGTGCTCTATCTCACAATGAATAATAAACCACGGTTTCTGTCTCTCTTTGATCTTAGAAATGAAACCTTTATCATTCCTACAGAAATTATTTATTCCCAGAAATGGGAGAAATTATTTTGAGTGTGCCTCATCACTGAGTTTTGCTCATTCAAACAACAGATTTCTTAGTAATGCATTGAATGGGAGGTGGGATTGTCCTGTGCTGTGCTTGATCTGTGAGGTTTTATAACACCAAAACATGGGGTGGCCTTTTCCATGTTTCTGAGTGAAGGATAGAGATGAAGCGAAGCTTCAAAGTTATTTCCCAGCTGAAAGGAAATTCAGCATGACTGATGTTGCACAAAACAGGAAAAAATACAAGAGATTCCAATACAGGTTGTTTTGGTTTTATTTCAAGACATGGAATAAGCAGAATCAGGGTAAACTGGTAAGGTTCTTTTCCAGAGCAGGATTATTTTCCATTACTGAGCACTTCAGACAGCCTTTTTTAAAATTCATCAGGTGAAGTTCGTCCATCACATCAGTTGAACAGAGTTTTGCATTGCATATAGATGGACCTCCCTGTGAGAGCCATTTTTTCATAGATGTTTAGCCAAAATCTTTTTTTTTTGCTTACATTCCTCATACCAGGTACCACCCAAGAGAATCCTAAGCATTCATAATTCCCCATATCCCAGGAGATATGAGTGGTCAGTGATGTAGAAATCAAGCAAGTTTTATAGATATGTCAGTGTACTATTTAATAGGGCATGTCAGTCTTGCAAGTTGTATTTTAATCACTGAATATTATCGATGTCACTCAAGTTTTAAGCAGAATACATTTGATTTTTTGATTGTAGTTACGACTTTACTGCTTAAAGTCTTGTTATCATAATGATGTGAACAACACAAGTGGGTCTATGTGTAAAATTCAATATTTATTCAAGGTCACAGGTTAGTTTTTATTATGCATATTTTACATGATGAGCAATACCACAGAGACCCAGACAAACAGCAGGCCTTCAACAGATCTAGCCTGTGTGTAGTAACTCTTTAAGACTTGAACTCCCCTTTAGAGAGATTGGAATCATGTCTTCAGACTTCTGAAACAGTGGAGAAAAAGCTCAAATAACATTTTCTGTTGCTGTCTTCAATTTAAGATTTTAAAATTCAGTTTTATGCAAATAGAAGTCATTCTCTTTAGCTCATTTTTAGACCCATTTGTAAAATGTAACCTTTACCAAGGCTGTGTATCCAACTGATTTGCAGAAGGTCCAGGAGACTGACCAGTTCTAGTACTTCAGATGCATTTAGTGCGCTAATCCTGTTAATTTCAACGTAAATTAATCACCTGCACACCTCAAGGGGTTAAACCAAAGCACTTGTGTCAGCACGTCCTTTTCCAGATTGTTAGGTACTGTAATCACACATTCATTGTATAATAACCAAAGTGAGGAAATTCCTAAAGATAATTAGAAAGGGGTTATTTCCATTCGTTCTATCTGGTTAAAATTGGGCTTGGCATCCCAAGACCATGCTACAAATATGAATCATTCTCTTGGGATATTTGTTGAGGTGGGCTGACCTCAGCTGGCTTCCAGGTGACCATCAAGACTCTTTCTCACTCCCCCTTCTCAGAGAGACAGGGGAAGAAATTGAGGTTAAAAACTTGTGAATTGACATATAAGCAGTTTCATGAAGAAAAATAAAGGTTGCATGCAGAAGCAAAGGGAAACAAAAGATTTATTCTCCACTTCCCATCAGCAGGTGAGGGCCAAACACTTCCAGGCAGTCAGGACTTGAGTATGTGTAGTAGGTACTTCTGATGACAAACATCTTAATAATAAAGCCCGGCCCCCTGCCTCGCTGCCTCCTTTCTCTCAGCTTTTATTGCTGACCAGATGCCATATCAAATATCCATTTGTTCAGCTTGGGTCACCTGTCCCGGCTGTATCCCCTCCGGAGATCTTGACCACCCCTGCCCTACTGGTGAGAGGGGAACGCTGGAGAGACAGCCTTGGTGCTGTGCCAACACAGCTCAGTGGTTGCTGAGCACTGGTGCATTATCAACACCTTTTCAACTGAAAACACAAAGCACAGCACTGTGTGGCACTGAGGGATGTCATGGGGAAAGTTAATTCCATCCCAGCTTGAGCCCATACACCTGTCTTCCTCAAGAAAATTTTGATGAACCCTAGACATCTGTTTCAGACTTAGTATGAGAATTTCATCTTAATACAATTAACTAAGAATGACTGAATCCAAGATCCATGATACTCTGGAAGTATTGTTTCTTGTGTAGAGTGTATGTGTGGTATACACACACACCTCATTGTGTTGAAAACATTTTTCTGAAAACATTTCTAGAAAATGGGTCTTGATATTCTTACACTTGAAGTCTATTTTTGTCATGGATTCTAGAATAATCTTAAGGATGGGAAAGGTTACTTAATGTGTACATGGAATGCTTTTTCTAATGCAAATATTTGCATGGGGAAAGTAGTTGTAGCTGTGAATTACTTGTGAGAATTGTATTGAATCCTCAATCAAAGTTATGCATTGTCACATGCTAGGTGATATTATAGATTATAAAACCTATGGTTTCTGAGATCCCAGATTAGTGAGACACAGAAGACCTATCTAATACTTTGCATCCAAATGGAAATTGTCAGTGGAAAAAAATTAAATTCTATATCACTCAGAAATAAAATGTGCATAGAGACATTAGGATAGCAGTATCAACTCTTTCACAGATAACGGCTAATAAAAGGCAGTGTAAAAGTAAAGCCTATTATCAAGGAAAGAATTCCAAGGTCCTCAAGGAAAAAGGTACAGCAATGAAATATCACCGTTAAGTGTTCAAGCTTTGTGTTGGATTTATCTTCTGAAACAGAGAGTAACAACAGTATAAACACGAGCTGATGTACCTTCCCTTTTCTTTACAGTTCATTAGTATTTTGAACTAATATCTATATCTTGATAGGGTCCAGAGGCCACAGTCAAGACTGGGTCTTCCAACTGCTCTGAAAACATATTCAACGGGAGATTTCCTTCTTTAAACTGAACAGAATCAAATCAGACTCTCAAAGGAATTCTTGTGTGATCTTCTCACTTTTTCCCTCTTTGAAACTAAAACTTTGGAAAATGTGGGAGAAAAACAAATTGTGGGGAGAGATTCTTATGTACATCTGCTGCTAATGACTAATAAAATGGCACTGCATTTATATCACAGTGTCTATTAAAAATAACCTGTCCATTTTTCTTTAGATAAGAAAAAACTAAGTTAGAAAATTAAGTAAAACTATAGGAGCATCAGAAAAATGTTTTCATTGCTAAGATAGGCTGTCAGTGAGGCTGAAAAGCAAAGGAGTGTCTACTTAAGAATGGTTTGCCTAGCACTGAATAAGCAGAAAAGCAAGGGAGTTAAATACAGGTGGTCCGTGCCTGTTTACACAAAAGAGATGAGCTGTAAAGAATGATCCACAAAATATTCAGAAAGACACACACTGAAAGTCTAATATTTGATGCATTTTGATTAGCATTAGTTCAAGCTTCTTAAATTTGAATCAAACTAAAAATAGGGCATTTTGGTGCCTGCACAAAGCTCAGAACTTGAGTTACACACACACATTTGCTCATGTCTGTGTGCATACATACAAACTCTCTCCTGTGCTGGCATAACACATACAAAAAGGATCCAAACTTGAACAGGAACTCACTCTTGCCATTTGCAGAGTTGAGAGAGGCTTACACTGCTGTTCCTACATTTGTGGTAGGTATCTGAGTAAATAAGAGACTTCAAAGTGGATATACAATGACTTTTCAGAACATCATATACATTTTTAAGAAACTCTATTAATTGGTAC